TTCAAACCGTAGTAAATTAGTTTCTCATATCCATACGCCTCATGTCGACTCATGAGTAAATAACTCAGTCCCCGTACACTGAAAAAACAACTCGAATGACCTCTGAGGTCAGGAGGTTACCTGATATGAGGTTATGTTACTTTTCCCCCGTTTTACATTACACGCGTAACGCCGTATTGAACATCACGGCATTGAGTTGCATTACAGTATTCAAAATCTCTTTAAAGACATTTCGATTTAAAAAGAAAATTGAAAAAGCAACATTTTGACATAATTGTTGGCTTCTAAGATATCGTTCATAGATGCATGATACCCTGACATAATTTCAACACTGAATTGATCTCGTTGATGTCGACGTGATTCATAGTTTAGCGCTTAGTAAAATTTGGCACACATCTAAACGTGCGCAAAGATAAATAGTCAAAAATAAGAAACTGTTTATCTGCAGAAAAAGCTGGACCGCTGAAGATAATAATGTTTTAAATTCTGCATAATATTTATTCAAGTAACGCAAGCTACCTGCTTTCAGTAACGCTTCGTGTCGCTTAGCAAAAGTGAAAAACTTACTCTATGTAAATAAAGGCTTACTTACATTTGTTTCATTCTTTTATTTTTCTTATCTGAAATTTCTTTTATGTAGGTTTAAGATTTTCTTTCCAAATTTACCGTTCAATTTCCTATCCCGGCCATATTTGAAGACATTCCTTCTCATTGGATTGCTGTAAAACTTTACAATCACATATTTTGAGGAAGTTCAATATTNCAGCATGACATTTTGTGTGAAAAATTAAACAAACATTTAATACATGATCCTCAGTTACAGCAGCACAGAGGTCATCCGTTTTAATGCTAATATGGCTTTTTTAAGTATGTCCAAGTAGATTCGTTTACGGCGAACAGGCTTGGGTGGCACTTCTAATTCCCTTTTTTCTTCCTACTTTCTCTTCTCCAATATATGCCTGCTCCCAGGCTAGTGCCTCCCAATACAAATGCAGATTGCATTCTGTGCTCGGGAGTATTAGCCGTCACGACTTTTGAAATTACTTTTCTCGGGAGTGGGGTGGGGGTGGATTAGCGCTACTTCTAAAACCTAACCATAACAGCAAAATTGATCGAGCCTCATAAGTGACTGAAATGACTAAAACACAGAAACACAGGCTGTGCCGTTTGAGTTAGCAACGGCTGGTGATATACGAGCAGCGAGAGCAAGGCTTATTTTTTTCGCGTGAGATTCGCGTTTTCAGCTCGTTCCTTTCGCGCCTCTAAATCACGCATTGACTGCCAAGGGCATTATTTATCTCCACTTATTACTAGTCCGTGTAACTGACGATGTCTGGAGATCTGACCCGGATAGTCGCTGCTTTAAAAACCACAGGCGGTGGTGCTATGCAATAAGATCGTTTGCCTCCTTTGACTCACATTCGATATTTTTACCTATAAACCCATGTAGACCATGCTGTATTTTCAAAATCAGGTAGTTTTCTGCACGCTTTATCTCTGAAACGAAGTCGGTAACCCCCAGGGTTTTTTTTTTTTTGTGCATTTCTGACACAAGTAACTCATTATCTGACTGCTGTAAAAATTAAGAAAAAATCTATCCACTGGAAAATTTTCGCGCAAACGCCCTTAAATACGGCGTTACGCGTGTAATGTGAAACCGGGGAAAAGTAACATAACGACATATCAGAGGTCACTCGAGTTGTTTATTCAGTGTACGGGGACTGAGCAAGACGATGAAAACAGCCAGGACTGTGTGTGCCACTCATATCAAATATAAACATTGTCGACCTTGTCGAATTTTATGGCCGTTTGCGCTCGCTGTTTTATTGGAAATATTTTACAGAACAGCTCACAAGGACACT